CGTTTGAGGGAGGCATGCATTGCTCTGAATCGACAGCTTGTCAGGCCTCGTGGGATGGCCAGGGATGGCGTGAGTGTGGGCCCCACCTCTCCTCCCTGACATCCTTCATGAGGAGCGCAGGGTTTCCTAGAGCTCTTGCCTACTTACCTTCTAGGACAGCTCTGACCTTTTCTTGAACTGCCCCCCCCCCCCAAGCCCTAAGTAAAGATCAGAGCTCCGACCCTATTCCACGAAACCTAAAGAGCAAGTGGGTACACACTGCTTCACTCAAGTAGTCCTCTATTTCCCCAGAATAACCTTTTTGAGTCTAGGAACCTCACTGACTATATTTCCTTCTTGAAGAGGGTGTGGTCCAACCCCTCTCTACTTAGAAAGCATTGGTCTTGCTTTGCTTGCCAAGATCACCATAGGGGTCTCTCTCTCACACACCCTTCTTTTGCATTGATACCTTCTTTGCCCTTGCCCTACCAGAGTGCAGCGCGCCTCGTGGCCCAGGAATGGTTTCGAGTGTCCAGCCAAAAGTGCTCTCAGGCTGAACCTGTGGCAGGGGTGCTTCGAGGGGTGAAGAGCCTGGGGCCTGAGCTGCTGGCTCATGTGGTGAACCTGGCTGATGGCAATGGAAACACAGCCCTGCATTACAGCGTGTCTCACAGGAATTTGGCCATTTCCAGCCTGCTCCTGGATACAGGTCAGGGAATTTGTGAAGAGGGCTGGGGTGGGTGAAGGCTAGTGTTGTTGAGGGGCACAGAAAAATGCTGAGTGGCTACATTGCTGTTCACTTGGCCAGAAGCCAACATTGGGTGTTTTCTGAAAAAACTTCCCATTGAACCTGGAGCTGTTTGTCCAGCAAATCCCACCTGTTTCCATCTCCCCAGCCTTGGGGGTTATAGACATGTGCCACAGTGCTCAGCTTTATGAGGGCACTGGAGATATTTAGTGCTCTTACCCCTTTGAACACCCAGACCTAAGTAAGGTCTTGTATGGCCCTTGGCTGGCCTCAAATTTGTGCCTTTGCCTTGGTCTCCTCACTTTATCTTCTTCAGCTGTCAACTCCCCTAACCCCAAACAATGGCACCCAGGTTCGAGACCAGAGATTTCAACTTAGCACCCCCTCCCTGGGTATACTGTATTCCTCAATCTCCAGGTCTGGCACTTTTTGAGACAGGGTTTATATAGCTCTGGCTGGCCTGACTGGTTTCTGCTAGGATCAAACACATGTGCCACCATGCCTGACTGCTTCCTGAGTTCTTGGGTCCCACTGTTTATCCCCAAGAGGGGGTTACTCACTGCTTAGGTTTCTGACTATCATGAAGCCATTCTGTTCACCTGCCTCATCTTATCCCCCCACGGCAGCAAATACACACACCTGAACAGGTGTAACTACTCTGGTTGCTCAGTTGCTAGTCTCATTTCACCCTCACATCAGTGTGACAGGGTTTCTCTGTAGCTTTGGAGCCTGTCCTGGAACTAGCTGTTGTAGACCAGGCTGGCCTCACATTTATAGAGATCCTCCTGCCTCTGCCTCCCCAGTGCTGGGATTAAAGGTGCGCACCATCACCCCCTTAGCCAGTGAATTAAAAAAAAAAATCTGATTTTTGAGACAAGGCACAGCGTGTAGGGCTGGGTCTCTGTAGCTCAGCTGGTAGTTCTGCCCAGCAATCTCAGTACTGAGGTGGAAGCCTAGGCTGAGATGCCATCTTAAAAACGGACAACAGATGCTCACCCACCATCTGCGATGCAGGGGACCCAACTGCCCCATCTCCCCAACCAATCAGCATCTGATGCTTGGATGAAGTGACAGACCTCTCTTCTTCGCAGGAGTCTGTGATGTCAATCATCAGAATAGAGCCGGCTATTCTGCACTCATGCTGGCTGCCCTCACTTCTCTAGGGCAGGAGGAAGACATGGCTGTGGTCAAGAGACTTTTCAGCATGGGTGATGTCAATGCCAAGGCCAGTCAGGTGCACACAACACTCCACTTACAATGGGTGGATAAAATGGTGTTACTTCCTACCTTCAAACCTTCCCCTTGTTTTCCAGACTGGGCAGACAGCCCTCATGCTCGCCATCAGCCACGGCCATCAGGACATGGTAGCTGCCTTGCTGGAATGTGGGGCTGATGTCAACGTACAAGATGCTGATGGCGCTACAGCACTGATGTGTGCCAGCGAGTACGGGCGCCTTGATACAGTTCAGCTGCTGTTGGCCCAGCCAGGCTGTGACCTAACCATCTTAGACAATGTGAGCAACCAGTGAGGGTCTGAGTAGTAGTGCTGTGTTCCACTATAGACCAGGGACTTAATGTCATATTATTTCCCAGGAGGGAACAAGTGCCCTGGCCATTGCACTGGAGGCTGAACAGGATGAGGTGGCTGCACTGCTCCATGCTCACCTGACATCAAACCATGGCTTTCAGGTAAGTGTGGTCCCCAAGAAATACAGATGCCAATGACGTTCAGAAGCTTTTCCTAAAGAACAAAGACTGAGAACCTCTGCCTGCATTATACCACAAAGCTCTGACTGTTTGATGTTTAACTAACAAAACTGAGGTACACACAACTTTAGGTTAGGATCACACACATGAAAGGGAGAGCCTAGCTACCTGATTTGGGAAAGGAGCCCTTTGCTGTAGGGAGAAGAGAAAGAGCTCCAGCCCCAAACAGGAGGCTTGGTGACAGGAAGTGAGCCTAGGAGAACACACCCTATGGGTAGAGCATCGGACAGCAAGTGCTGGGTTATCCCTGGCATTTTTATGACTACTTACCTAGCTGGGCCCACCCCACTCTTACCCTGACATAAAATGGGATGTTTCCTGTTTTTACATCCTTTACCCCCCCCCCATGACTGAAACTCCTGTCTACAGAACCTCTTTCTTTGCTCTAGGGTCAGCTTCCCCCAGGCACACCCAGCTAAGGGATGCAGTGACAAATGACCCAACCTCTTTTGAGCAGCTGCTACCCTCTACCTGGACTGCAGGAGACACTTTCCTCTTATGTATGAGCTTCTGAATCACAGGAGGGTACCTTGTGCAGATGCCGGAGTGATGATACAGCTCTCTACCCACTCCATAAAACATCGTTCCCAATAAAGCATTTCTACTGAACTTGTACTTTGTGTGGGTGACAGTCTAACCCATCTGCAAGGCACCTATGGAAGGGGCTTTCAGAGTGCACAGAATGAATGGTCCAAAGACACTGCCCCGAAAAAACATTCAGAAGGATTCCAAGTTCTAGACCAGCCTAGGTACAAGAGGGGGAATAAAAAAACAAACAAACAAACAAACAATAACAAACACAAAACAAAACAAAAAACAAACCCTAACAGGACAACCCAGACAAGAGTTAAAACAATACAAATGTTTTATTTAATAGTCGCAGGTCATCATGGGCCAAGTGGTGGATACTCAGGACCCTGTAAACAGACCCAAGCATTAGACAGAGAACCTTTCCTGACACCTCCCAGCAAGGAGCAGTCATTCCCAAAGGTTGCCATGTACCCACCAGCAGGAAGGTCAGTCAGCGCAACCTCCGAGCCTCTCTTTCTGACTCCAATAGGGTGAGCACATCTCCCTCTCGAACGGGGCCTTTGACGTTTCGGATGATGGAGCGGCTGGTGTCATCCATAAATTCCACACGGACCTATGGACCCATCAGAAGAGTTAGGTGCTGCTAGTTACTAGTGGGGTGGAAAGATGATGAGGGCAGGTGAGATGGCTCAGCAGTCAGAGGACCTGGCCTCATTCCCCAGCACCCACACAGCTGGCTCCCCAGTTCCAGGGGAGTCTGACCTGCCCATCTCTGAATACTCTATTCCCCACCACCAAGAGCCTGGGACATTAAGGAAACAAGCCGCACATCCAGGGCGTTGAATGTCTGCGAGCTCCTGGGTAAACAGAGCACTAAAGGGGAGTGCCTTTCTTCTTCTCTAAAGTTGGGGCTCTGAAATTTCTGACTGACCTTGAATGCCTGCCCCCACCTCCGCTGCTAGGATGACAGGTGGGCAACAGCATGCCTAATTTTTTTTTTTTTGGTCTTTTAAAAAAAACGCCAGTGTCTCACTCTGTAAGCCTTGGCTAGTCTTTAGCTCAGTCTGTCTTTTTGCTGAGATAACACAGCCCCTCCCCACCTCCAGTGTTTAGGATTATATCTTTGGGCCCGCCACTTAGACTATGTCGGGCTGGCCCAGAAATTGGTACCTCAGTCTTTTCAGGACTAGGATGGAAATCCTGGATATAAACCAATCTTTTCCCCCAGGACAGTAGTCAAGGCATCTCTAGCCCAGGATGGCCTCTCCACCATTTCTGGTGTATGTGGTGCAGGGGACCCAAGCCTTCCTTGCACGCTAGCCAAGTGCTCTACCAACCGTGTCCCAGCTTTGTGGGGGACTAGATCTCACCTATTCTGTAGCCTAAGCCTCTGGAACTCCTAGGGAGCTTTCTGACTTAAGACCCCTGGAATTCCTGGCATGGGTTATCGCTCTAGTTTTTAGTTAGGTGCAGTCTGTGGGTATTGCGTATGTTAAGCAAGTATACTACTGACACAATAGTTCCCGCCCACTCCATCTCTTTAAAAATAAAACGTTCAAAGACAGTTTCACGAGCAAATCCAGGGTGGCTACCAAGTCATATCTTCAGTGAGCCTATTAGGATTAAAAGTCACCAAGTCCAGCAGTAAACTGAGTATTGAGGAGGATTCAGACCCCAGGAAGTTGCCGGGTGTCCCCATGCGCTCACCTGCGTGCACTGTCCCTGCGAACCGGTCCTGCCCAGCACTTTGGTTACCTGCAGGAGATCAGAGGCCGTTAGACCGACAGACCTAGCTTCCTCCCTTCTCCTCCATCCAGGCTTCTAAACACCCGCAGTCGCCTCTTACCCTAGCGAGCTTGATGGGCTGCACGCGACTCGTGTCCATGATGGCGGCGATCAGGCGGAGAGGGGTCACGTGAACAGGGGAGCGCTTTTATAACATGCTCTCGACCACGCCCTACTCCCGCTCTCGCGAGGCCGCACGCGCTACCCAGCAGTCCTGGGGCAGAGTCGTCACCAGCGTCCTTCGGAGCGGAAGGAACATGGCGTCCGCTACTCGCATCATCCAGAAGCTGCGGAACTGGGCGTCTGGGGTGCGTGTTCCTGTCCGATTGGGGCCGGAAAGGATTGGGTTTTGTGTTCCCCCGAGTCCTCTCCTGTTTCACATCTCCTTAGCTCAGTGGGGGAGTCCAGGAACCCTCAATTTGTGACTCCACTAGTCCGGGACTCACGGTCCTGTCCCTGGGATTCCCCATACCTTGGCTTCAGATTGCCTGGCTTCAGTTTCCTGCTGCCCCTCACTCAGTCCCGGAGTTTTCTCGTCCCCGTACCATAGCTTTTTGAGTCTTGTGGCCGTTTAGCTTTTTCTTATTTTGAAAAGTCGAGGACGAGTTTTTAGGTTTCGGAAGAAAACGAAAAGATCTGGGAAGCTGTAGATTTCGGCAGCTCCTGGGAGATTGGAGAGGGACAAGAGGCGGGGAGGTAGCTACGCCTTTTACGTTACGGAGGCGTATTCAGCACAGCAGGTCTGCAAGCGACTATTTAGGCGTGTGGCTCTTCAGAGAAAGTGAGATTTCCCATAATGTTTAGTATATTGACCCATATATGAAGTAGATAAAAGGAGAAGGAAAGGCTTTTTTGGTTTGTTTTTTGTTGGGTTTCTTTCGAGACAGGGCTTCTCTAGCTTTGAAGCCCGGCCGGAAAACAGGCTGAACTTGAACTCACAGACCCGCCCAACTCTGCCTCCGGTGTGCTGGAATTAAAGGCGTGATCTTGCACTACCACCGCCCAGCAAGGAGGCTTTTCTTTCTTTCTTTCTTTCTTTCTTTCTTTCTCTCTCTCTCTCTCTCTCTCTCTCTCTCTCTCTCTCTCTCTCTCTCTCTCTCTCTTTCTCGCGAGGGTTTCTTTGTAGTTTTGGGGCCTTTCCTGGAACTAGCTCTTGTAGACCAGCCTGGTCTCAAAAGGAGGAGGCTTTTAAAGTTAGATCTTGGAAAGACTCGGAAACTTAGCAGTGAAGTTCTGTAAGCCACTGCCCCAGCTTTCTTTTCATCTGCAGGGCCTGTATCCAATCCTGACTGGCCACCCCTGTTCACTACCCCAATCCTGAGCCTCCGGGCAGCCTGACTTCTCTCCTTTTCCCACAGCAAGACCTGCAGGCGAAGCTGCAGTTGCGCTACCAGGAGATCGCCAAGCGGTGAGCAGGCCCTGCTTGCTGCCAGCCTCACCCCTCATCATGTCGTTCTTCCACCAAACCTAAATCTGAGGCTGGTCGTGGTGGTACAACCTTTAAGCTCAGCACTCAGGAGACAGAGGCGGTCTGATTACTGTGAATTCAAGGCCTCTTGGTTTATGTGGTGAGTTCCAGGCCAGCCAGGGCTACATAGTGATAGCCTGTCTGAAAAACAAATGAAAAAACAGCCTCAAATTTATTATTCTGAACTTCCCTTGGAGCATTGGGCAGAGAGCCTTCTTGCCACGCTGTGGAAGCAGACATTTACTTTTAACCTCACGGGGTTGCCTTGAAATAGGAGATAGATTACGTTATTTGTTGTTATCTTGGGCAGATTTGCAATCTTCATTGTGACCCTACACTTAAAATGTTATGTTCTCAAGCTGCTAATGAGGAAATGAGACCCAGGTGGGCTAAGTCACTGAGAGACCAGTCTTGAGTTTTGAACACATTTATATTGATGAGTCTTTGCCATGTCCTCAGACTTTTGGATGCCAGTGTAAACAAGAAAGTTCTTGGTTTGTGAGGTTGGTGGCTTTAGCACTCACAGGCCCCCACCTCAGTTTGCTGGCTTCAGAATGAGCCCCTCTGAAAACCCAGCAGAAGCCTAGGGGATCTTCTGAAACAGAGCACTCAGCCTGGCCTCAGAGATGTCAAGTAACCCAGAGTGTGCCCTACACTCACGACCCTGCTTCTGTCTCAAGTGCGGGCATTTCAGGCATGTGCCACCACACCAGTGTGATGTGGGCTGGGGGCAGCTTCACGCATGCCAAATACTTTATCAACTGGACTATCACTTAAATTCTTATCCTCATCTTTTTTCCTTAAAAATAGTTTAGATTTATTTTTATATGTGTGCTTAAGTGTTGTGCCTGCTTGAGTTTATGTGTATCGTATGTGTGCCTGGTACCTGTGGAATTCAGAAGAAAACATGAGATCATTTGGAACAGAGAGATGGTCGTGAGCTGCCTTGTGGGAATCAAATCATGGTTTTCTGCAAGAGCAACGGTGCTCTACCCAAAGAGCCATCTCAGTAGTCTCCTATCTTTATTATGTGGATGTTGTGTGGGCGGGAGAAACATTGCAGGGAAGTAAATACAGGATACATCTTATCTATTTTTTATTAATTAATTTGTATTTTAATTGAGACAGGTCTTTATATGTTAGTCTGAGCTGGTCTCTAACTCTGATCTCCTGCCTGCCACATGCTGGGTTCACTGGGTTTGTGTGACTATGCCTGTCCAGAGGCAGGGTCTTACACTGTAGTCCTGGTTGGCTTGGAACACGCTATAACCCAGGCTGGGAGATGGTTCAGCAGGTACCAGGATTAGAGGCCAGAAACTGACAGCGTCTCTAGGATAAGGGCGCCCTCTAGTGATTCATTTGGGTTTTGGCATTAGACAACTGGTTCTTTTTACTTTGCTGTGCACAGATGATAAAGCTATGGTTTAGCATATATGTTCTTCAGGCAAATTATAAATTTCACATTTGTTTGTCCTTTTAGAATTTTAAAATTGTCATTTTTTTTCCTTTTAAAATTCATTTATTTTGTGTGTGGGTCAGAGGAAAAGGTGTTTTTTTTTTTGTTTGTTTTTGTCAGGGTTTGTTTGTAGCTTTGGAGGTTGCCCCTGGAACTAGCTCTTGTAGACCAGGCTGGCCTTGAACTCACAGAGATCCACCAGCCTCTGCCTTCTGAGTGTTGGGATTAAAGGCGTGTGCCCAGGCAAAGGAGAACTTGTGGGGTAGTTTTTTCCCCTGCCATTTTTGGGTCCTGGAGATTGAATTTAGGTAGTCAGGCTTGGCCATTGCTTTATTTTTTTTTAAAAGTTTTTTTTAAGTATTATTTTGTGTGTGGGTGTTTTATGTGCATGCATGGCTGTGAACTACATGCATACAATATCTTGGAAGCTAGAAGGCGTTGAGATCCCCTGGAACTGGAGTTGCGAATGGTTGT